GCGGTCACTCTAGAGCCACCAGTGGCCACCACAGAGCAACTCCGAAGGGACCAGCTGGCCCCCCTGCAGAGACAGCGCAGCCCGAGGGAAGCTTCTCCACGAAACACAAAGGCTCCAGCACAGAGAGGTGCAGAATTACTGCTGCCCTGAAGGGAGCAGTGCAGAGAGGCAGAGGAGGCCGCCCGGCCTCACGCAGGGCCTTTTCTGGCCCTCCCAGGTCCTAAGGAAGTGGCTGCAAAGTCTCCAAAAGGCTGCATAGAGAGGGCAGGCTCTAGCGCGTGCCGGGGCCAGGGGTGCTGGATGCCAGAGCTCAGCGCTGGGCCCTGCCACCCCCCAGCACTGCAGCCCAGACCCGGAGCTGTGGGGCGTGCGGGGCTGCCCGGCCGCAGCTCACTGCGATGGTCCCCGCCGATGACGAGCCCTGGACAGGGGCTCCGCAGCCTCCCAGGGACAGGGCCCCTGCTGCTCGGGCGGCTGCAGGAGGGAGGTGCCCGGGAGCGGGGCAGGTTCCCAGGGACCTCAGGCTCAAGCAAAGAGGCAGCCAGAGAACGGCAGGAGCTGGTGAGAAACCGCCACGGAGGCTGCTTCGAGGCCTGCAAGGCCTGTGGCTCCCCTCCGGGTCAGCCGAGGAGGATTCTCTTCTTTCACTGCAGAAATCCCAGACAGGAGCACGTGGGCAGCTGCTGACAGCGTCCGCCCCGTCCCCTGCTCCCATGGGACCTCTCAGAGCTCACGTTGGGTCAAGAAGCCAAGCACAAGCGCAGAGAGGGCCCCGCTGCCCCACGCAGCGCGGCTCAGGGCCCCGCTGCAGACACGGGGCCAGCGCAAGGGCAGCAAAGCAGCGCTCTCGAGAGGGCCCACGAGGCGCCCAGGCCCATCTTGGCAGGTAAACGAGCCCCACACCTTCCCTCTGCATCAAAGCACAAACCTGTCAGGAGCGCAGAGCAACAGCATTCCTCCAGCAAACCAAGCTGCCAGTAACACAAAGATCTCCCAAGAAGAGCCCAGGAGGCTGAACCAAACCTCTGCGTAAGACGGCGCTCGCGCAGGCCAACCTCTGCTTCGCTACGGAGCGCCGGGGCTGGGAGGGCGCTGGTGGAGCAGGAGCTGCGCTTCTCTCCACGCGGAAACCAGACACCGGCCGCTCAGATATCCAAGTCCCTGCAGGAAATATTCCTGCCCCCCACAGACTGTAACGTACACCCAAACTTCTCAGGAAAAGTCTCTCTGACACCAGGGAAGAGGGTTCCCATCAAACACCTTGTTTCCACTCACAGCGCAGAAGGTCCCTTTGGGGGAAGGGGCAGCTCTGGCCTTTTCCCCTTCGGCTTTTCGCCCCCCTCTCACTCCGAGGGCTGCCTGAAGGGCAGCGCAAGAGGGAGGATGCCCCACGCGGGGCTGGCTCTGCGTTCACTGCTCCCGGAGGCCAGGAGGGTTAGAGGCCCGTGAGATCTACAATGGCTTTAATAAAGATGGCGTCATCCCGGACGTAGGAATTCTTGGCTTCCATCATGGAGACGGGGCAGAAGAGCGGGCAGCCACTGGCAATGTTCATTTCAGTGATGGGTCGCTGGAAGGAGGAGGACGTCACGTCGGGTCGGAACGCGTCGATAATGTGTTCTCGGTTGTTCTGATCCAAAAGCATCAGGGTTACCTATGGGGAAACACCAACGTACACAGGAGTGGCTGAATAAAATATATATGATATTGTGCTGAATAAAATATATATGATATTGCACATATAAAAAGCAGTAAGACAGACGCCTAGTGTGATGTCCTGCTCATTTAAAGCCTGGGAAAAGTGCAAGTGCAAATGCAAAGTTAGCCACACTACGCAACCACGGAGCTGAGAAACGCCTGCAACGAGGGTGAGGCCAGAACGCCACCGAGAGCGGCACAACCACATCCTGCCCTGACACTGGAAACTCGTGCAGCAGCACGGAGCCCGTCAGACCAACCGTGGAAACCCGTGACTGGCTGCAAGGGAGCCGTCGGCAGCGCTCCGTGCAGCCGCTTTGCTCATCCCAGAGTTCCTGCCCCGCTGAGGAAGGCGGCCCCTGCCCTGCAGCGGCAGCGCTGCGGGCTGAGCGTGCCAGTGCTCTGCACACCCGCAAAGGCTGAGGACTGAGCTCTGAACTTCTGATGTTACGTGGGGAACTGCAGCCTAAACTCAGAGTCCAGAAATGACAGCATTGCCCAGGCCCAAATTAGCACAAAGGCTCTGCTTGCTTCTCATATAAGCTGTTGTTCTGTCACTGCCTTTGCCCTTTCTCTGTCCTACCTTGTAGGACTTGGTACTTTCAGCACCAGTGGGGAATCCCAAGGGCAGCAGACGTGGTAAAAGCCGGCCTTGTTCTTGCCCTTGCTGAGCAAACCAGACTGACTGCCTAGAAGCTCACGTGGGCACAAAGCCAGAGCGGACAACACCTCCGGGCAAAGCAGGTTGTGCCCCAGACCTACCTTCTGGTTGAAGGGCCATCGCAGAAGCGCATCGTTGGGGCCTTTCATCACCACAAAGAAGAGAGACAGGTGGGTCCCGCGCCCGGTGCCGTCCCCGTTCAGGTAGACACGCAGACACATCTTGTAGCCGTACTTGCTGGTGTAGAAAGCTATGAAAGCATTGCAGAACAGACACAGTGAGCGTCAGAACCAACAGGACCTCACACCAACAGTTTCTTCTCCCTGAGAACTCTATGATTTGGATCCTCGAAGAACCCAGGTTGGGATATTATCCTATCTGCACCGAGGAGAGGTGCCAGAAGGTCACCACATGCAGACAAGAGTCAGACATGACCTCAGAGCTCAGAATGATCCCAAACACGGTTGCAACAAGCCCTCTGGTATACATAACATGCTGCTGTAGAACAAACCAAGGAAACTGCTGAGCCTCCTGCCCTTTCCCTAAGCCACGGCTGCGAAAGCTCCTCAGACGAGGCCAGAGCTGCTGCTCTGCGCGAGCGTGGCCGCCCGCTGCCTTCCCTGCCAGCCCCGCCACCCTCTGTCACAGTGACCCCCACAAGCAAATCCAAACACCCTCCCCAAAGCCACGAGGGGAGGCAGACCATGCCCAGGACCCCCGGCGCCTCCTTTCCAAGCCACCCGCGCGCTGCGGCAGAGCCGCTCGGCTCTCCCGGCCGGATCCCGGGCTGGGAAGCAGCAGGCGCAGAGCCGAGCGCGCGGCTCCGGGTTCCTGAGCAGCCCAGGGGATGCCTGTGTTGCACCCGCAGCTCCGTGCAGCCTGGCATGGTGTCCCCTCGCGCGCGGCAGGTCGCCCGCTGGCAGCTTTCAACCAGAAGACTAACTTTAGAGTGCCCTGTTTAAGACCCCCGAGGAGCCTTTTTGAATTCTCTTATGCTTTTGGCCCTTGCAAAACCCTGCAGCGGTGATTTTTAACCCACAACATTGCTGAGTGTCTCACCTTTTAGTTGCTTAAACCTGATTGGGTATTTTCTTGTTCTCATGTTTTAATACAAAGCAAGTAATGACACTCATTTCCTTTTTTTTTTTGTGTTCTATTTATGATTTTATAGCCCTCTCTCACCCCAGCCCTTTCCCACACTGAAGAGCACTAGGATATTTATTTCACATGGCAAGAGAACCAAGCACCTCCACAGGACTTCTCAGCAAAGCCAAACATTTATTTCCCACCCAATTTCCCCAAGGAAATTCCTTCCAGGAATGAAAATCTCTGCCACAGAGTGGCACAAGCAACTACTGCAGGAAACAAGGCCTCGTACTTCCCATTTGCAGGAATAATAAAAAGTTTTTTTTTCTCCATAACCATCCGCAGAGCCAGGCTGTTCCTCCCCGCTCCGCCGGCCGCGTCCCGCACGGTTCATCACCCGGCTGCAGAGAGCAACCAGCGACACAGCGCGTCCCGGCCAGCGGCCCACAGAGTATTGGTTTCCATTCCACGACACCGTTTAGAAAATCCCCGATCCCACAGCTAGGAGCCTGCCGTTTGCCTGCCTTTCCCTCCCGGGAGGTACCACGTACAGCTCTTTGCACGCCAGCATTGCTGGGCAGCGGGCAGCAATCAGCCAGCGCAGGAGAGGTGACAGCAAGCGCGAGCTGCAGCTTTGGGAACACTCGTGTTCACCTAAACGTCCTCAGTTATCAAGCGCTCTCCTCCCCTTTCCTCCCCATCACGTTCCCTTCCTGGATGCTCTGACCCCGACGCTCATCACATCCCTGCACAAGCAGACCCGGTTCTTCCAGCCCAGAAAGCCCCAGCGGGGACGGCAGGTTGCGTGAGCCGAGGAGCCCTGGGCTCAGCGCGACAGCGGACACGTGGCCAGAAGGAAGGAGCCTCCCCGAAACTGCAGCCTCGGGACACACTGGGGTTGTGAAGCTCTCGAGCATTGCACAAAAAGCAGACAGTCTCTCAGTCCTACCCCAGAGCTAAACAAACTAGACTTGAACCTGATTTCTTCACTTTGGGAAACAGAAAGGAAGTGCTGCCCTGCAAGAATGACAGAGCTGGGGGTTTCCACAGCTGTCACTGCCTTTTAAAAGGAAATGGTAATTGCATGCAACTGGGGTTTCAGTAGCACTTCTGTTCCCCTGAAGGGGATTCCTTTTTCTTCTTTCAGTTTTTCACAAGAAAAAGGATTCTAAGCAGCCAGCATCCAGTAAACAGACTTATTTCTCTTTAAAATTTCAACTGTTTTGCTTATATTTTGTGACCCTATAACAACATGATTTTGCATTTTGCCAGCAAGTATAAGCCAGGCTGTAGGTTCACCTGCAGCTCTCAGCACTGGGTGTTTCAGAAGGGCTCACCATGAAGCTTAGCCTAAGCTATTCCTCCTCAGCAAGATACAAACTCACTCCTCAACTATCTCCTAATGATGGGAGCATGACAGGGAGCTGTTTCTTGGCCGGATTTCCTTGCTCTATCTCACAGCTGTAGTCCTAGGATGTGCTTTCATAAGTAAAAACCACACGTTCATTGATTGACTTTTTTTTTTTTTTTTTTCTTTTTTAAGAGCACCAGGAACAGTGTGTGGTTGGCCAGATTCTGAGAAAAGACTTCCCTCTCCTTTCATAGAGAATCTAGCTCTTCTCTGGATATGGTTTGGGCTTTTACTTAGACATTGTCTCTTGCAACTTCATACTCTGGGCACAAAAACGTATCTCCAATTTCCTCCTTTGCTTAACCACTTGCTGCTAGCTGTGCTGTTGGAGTGTTTTACTTCTAACTAAGGGATTACATTTTGACTTGTTTTGGGCTCGAGGATTGCATTTTCCTTCCAGTGAGAAGGAAAAGAAAGTTCTCCTGTAATGAACAAGCCATCTCCTCCAGCAGCTCAGCTGCCTTTGCCCCAGCTGTTAAGAAGTGGCTCAAGCCCCCCTAGAAAAGGGGAAAAGATAACAGAAGCGTGTCTGAAAGGCAATGGACTTCAAACGCTAAGTTCAGCGCTAGGAAAACCCACACCCAGACGAAGCACAAAAGGCTTTTGCTGTTTTGCAAGTCTGTGAGCAATAACCTGGAGAGAAGATGGCGGGCGAGCGGCCTGTTATCGCCTCCTGACGCTTCCTGGCAAATTCCGTTATCTTCCAGATGAAGACACCGTCGTAGGTGGACGCTTCGAGGTTGCGGATCTTTTCTTCCATCTCAGCCATGGCCAGGTCTTTGAGTCCAATGCTCCTTTCCAGCTGCCGAACCTGCTCAGTGGGATACACGGTGCAGCCTGGTTAGAAAACACGTACTGCTGCGTGACCAAAGAAAGTCAGCAGACCCTGGAACCTCCTGCAGGCCTGATCTTTGGTAGGAGAGATCCTCAGATGTGATAGGGGTCAGAAGAGGGAAATACTTAGCACCACAAGCTAATTCAATAAAGTCTGACTGCTGTCATTGTGGAGGAGATGCGTTAATACAATTCAGTGTCTGAGCTGGCAACTTTCCTGAAGGGAATGGAAAAGTCCTCTCAATTAGCAACACAAGAGATGATGCTGGTGGAAGCCAACACTATGACAAAACTAGATTGAGAAACGGAAGAGCTAACAATCTGCCCCAAACAAAGATACCATAGATAATCACTGCTAGGTTAAGATGATTGTTTTTGCAGATACTTTATCAGGAGAACACAAGTCTGCTGCAAACTGCAAAGCTCCCAGTCACCAAGACACCCGGCAGGACCCGTGCGAAAGCCCAGCAGCTGCAGCAGGTTCAGAGCCCGGCCTCCCCGCGGCGCAGGCTGCAACGCTGCAGTGCAGCCTCACGGCTGGATCCTTTGGGAAGGCCCAGAGGAGATCAGGAGATCACGCCCACGCAGATTCAGCAAAACGACCTGTCTCACGGGAAACCCTCAGAATAACTCAACACATGCATTACTTGATTACAAACAGAGACCACTTTAGGCACATCAGCTTAATGACCACCTTCCAGGAAGTTTTCAAGGCACTGGCACAGACACGAGTGGTATTTCAGTTCTGTCTTCCGATTTATAGAGCTTTCAGGGCTACACTGTTAAGAACCGCTAAAGTGAGACTCTCTAATTACAGGAAAAGTGAACTGAAATTGCCTCTGAGCAGCGCGCTGGAAAGCCCAAGCCAGTGGTTACACACCTTGTTACTCAGTGTTTCAATTTTCTCCTGGTCTAGTCGATGTTGCCGACTATAGGCTTCAGCTGTTAGAGATACTCTTTCTACCTCCCGATTGAGCACGCACACAATGTTCTCAAAGGTCACCGTTTTCTTCTCAAGGGCCTCACACCTTGCTAGGAGCTCCAGGGACTTGGAGAGCTCCGTCTCAGAGCACGGAGCATTTCCCGTCACGAGCGGGGAGTTGGTTTGTGAGGAGGAAGGGGCAGGATGATGCTTTAGGTCTCTAGATGCTGTCTTGAGGCTCAGCACAAAACTCTGTAGCATGTACAGATGCTCTTCCAAGCACTTGCTTTCATGTTCTGGTATCTTCTCATTTTCCACCTACATGAAGAGAAACACATCCCATTCAGCAAGCTCAATCTACGCTGTCACCATCCACAGAACAAATTCCTCCTCTTGAGATCACGTTAGCTTTAAATTACAAAGGGGGAAAACCAAAGAGAAACTGTTACAAAAATGCTTGCTGGAAAGGTTTTGAAGAACAGCTGCATTCACATACAGTGATGGATGCTTAATGCATCCCTAGTGGTACCTACTGCTCTGCTCTGTCCTGCTTCATTAGTTCCTAGAAGGACTCAGTCAGATAGCAATGGACAAAGCCTCATGTAACTCCCCTAGGGAGGGCTGGGCACCAACACTGCCATTAGGAGCTGGAAAACTAAGTCACACGGACAAATATCAACTGGGTCAAGCTACGGTTGAAGAACAAGGCATCAGGTGCTTGGGTTTGTGCTTACAGCTATAAGCACAGCGGCCACAAGGAGTCTCGGAGCACTCAGGGCATTCCCCAAGGATCATATTTCCTTCAGCGCAAAGGACGGCTAGTTGGCTGTGTGGATGCCCAAGGTCTGGGCAGTGGGTGATTGCCCACGCACACTGCATTTGCAAGGGGCTTAAAGCAACACTTTGGTCAAGTATTGGGACACAAATATCTCTAACAAGATAAATTACGGCAGTGTGCAGGTTATAAGCAACACTGGGACTGCAGACAAGTCCCTAGGTCAACATGAACAGGCAAGCCCTTACCATCTCAGCACACCCAATAGCTTGAAATCTGCAAGGCACTTTACATTTGCCACAAGCCTTCACATGGTCCTGAAACTAGAAAGAAAGGAAGAGGCATTAAATGATCTTATGTGTCCCAAGCAGCTCCCTCGTCATCACAATGAAATCCAGAAAATGCAGAACAAACCAGAGAACACAGACATTGGCAACTGCTACTTTTCAAGTCTGTGGTTAAAACTGGTCACTGCCTAGCATTAGCTTCAATTATCACTGTAATTTAAACACATAAATGTAGAAGAATGGGGAGAGATGAGGAACAACCTCATAAAACAGGTAATCCATTGACTCTTGTGCAGTTTTCAATCTATCCCTGACCAACAACGGCCACGGCTTGTGCAAGCTACCTGAAGACAGGGCAGTTTGGGAGCAGCATTCCCTCCATCTCATCGCGCAGGTCTTAGAGCTTCTCCCTCCTTCACCACGTGGGAACTGTTCGCACGCTCTCCAAACCCCTGGCTTCACATGGCCCAGGCTGGGACACGGCACAGTTGGGTATTTTCAGTTCCAGCTAAACATTATTAACCTGAGATCAAAATCCCCCTTGTTATCCTGCCTATTTAGAGTAATCACTGCAGATCAACCTACGTAAGGGAAGAGTTTCTGGTGTGCCTAGTAACCCCTTGCTAGGGTACAGGAGACTTCAGTCACCTGAAATCTGGCAGCTGCCATCAAGAACGAAGACCAGTGCTGGGTATGTCACTGGAGGAAGTGCTAAGAGTCCCTCAGCGCACAAGGGGAAGCCTTTGGGTTCCCACACAACACAGATTAATGGTAACAAGCACTGGCACATCATCATCTGATGGTTCCTGATACCTAATGGTGAGAAGGGTATCAACAGTCTATTTCGAACAACTACAGGCCATATTTAGCCCCCATCTGCCAAAATAGATGCCAATTAGAGCTGTTTTAAAAGCACTTTCACAAAAAAAATATCCCCTAGATCCCCCTGACTAACTGAGCCCAGAGCAACCCGCCTCCTTACGTGCTGCAGGACCGGAGTACATCTGCAGCTGGTCAGCAAAACACTGCAGGGCCATAGAAGAGGATGTGAGCTTTTCAGCAGACACAGATCACCCTGGAGCCCAGAGGCACAGCCTAGTCCCAGTGGGCACCTGCTTCAGAGCGCAGACGGGCAGGTCAGTAGCACAGATCACAGCACTAAGGCCTTACACTGGGTGCTCTTATCTACTTTTTTTTTTTTTTTGATGCTTCTGGTTTCCCTGTCCTGCTACAAATGCCTTTTGTTACAGCAATACTAAAAATAATTGCCTGTGCCAGCTGGACAGTTTCAGATGCATGTATTTTTTTTTTTAAGATGTTTCCCCCAAATTTGGATTTCGAGACTTTTATGGCCTCCCCCTGGAGCCAGCAGCATGGAGACACCATTAGAAATGGATAATTTATTAGCAGTGCCTTAGTTTAGCTGCAGAAGGGAAAAAAATCACTGACCACAACAGCAGTTGCTGCTTTATACACAAAAATTATGCTTTCAGTCAAGGAGTGTGCTTTACCCATGAGAGGCTATGTATGAAATTGCAGTAAATACACAAGCCAAAGTTAGGCTGCATTATTAGTCTTTAATGCAAAAGTGCAGGTGCCTGATAAGTTGTGCTCACTGCTATTGTTGCAGTATTTTGAGCCTTTTGGAAAGGCCACATTTGTTCAAGTGGCAGCCACTGATTTCCCCATGCCACTCTCCTCTGGACTGGGTTTCCTCCCAACTTTCCAGTAACTCCAGTCACGGCCTATTGGGACCCAAATCCCCACCACCAGAGACGACTTGCGCGTGTTCAGATACCTTTTCTCGTGGAATCTTCTTTTTCCCACAGCCTTCACAAGTCAAGGGAAATTTAGGGCAGATTTCATCATGAGCCTGCAAAAGAATTGACAGGAGGCTATTTGGTCATTAAAAAAAAAAAGAGCTCCAAGAAGGTTACTATGCTGAACGATTCAGCACATAGAGGTCTATACTTTATTACAGAGGAGGGCTGCTCTCTATCAGTATATTCTTAAATCTTGGTTGCACTGATAATCTGTATGCTGACTCACGCCCATGATCTCCAGGTTACCCGAGTGTTGGGGATCTATGTAGGCTTCCAAAAATTTCAGCTTCAATTTAAAAGCTGTGAAAATCATTTTATGAAAAAGTCAAATTACTGCTTTGATGGACAAGATAAGCAACAGGAAGCTCCACTCATGGCTCTGCCAGGAAAATACTTGTTCAAGCAGGTTAAGCGACCTAAGCTGCTATCTCAGTAAGATAATTTGTATGATATTTCCACTGTGATGGTTACCAGTTAACTGGAGTAAGAAATTGCAGCCTAGTTGTCACATGCTGAGGTGCCTGATAGTATCTTCCCGTGCAAATTAGTTTGCTAAACCATTTTCTGAACAGAAAGAAAAATATTTCAAAACAGTTGAACACCCCTACGCACAAGTACCCACTCCTGCAGCAAGAGCACAGGGTTTGTTGCGTGGTGAGAGAGGCTGAACAAGCAATCACAGCACGGCAATAGTCTCGATCCTTGGAAAACACTCCAGCTAAATTCGGAATGCCAGAACATCCTCCTGCGTCCTGTACTGTTTCTGCGGTGCTGAAACCTCTCTTTCCACACTGACTACTTGAAACAAGAGCAACTTCATACTTTGCTTTTCTAATTACGGTTCCAGAGAACTGGTTTGGCTTTTTTCATCCAAGGTTCCACAATGCGTCACTGTAAATTCCATTAATGCACGGTAAAAAATTCAGATTAAAAGATAAGCGTGCTGAACTATCCCTCCGTAGCAAGAACAGAGAAAAAAACAATGAAATATTCAAAGGAGTTATGTGAAATCAAATGCTTGGAAAACTGGGTCACATTCATTCTGTACACATTTTAAGTATTGAAACAAGTTACTATTTGGAAGAGGGGAGGAGTAGAGAAAGAAAAAACACGCTAGCTGAAATGCTGTTACCACATCAGAAACTAGAAAGCGAAACCCATCGGGGCTCAGCTTTGGCTGCTTCACTCCGCTCTCCGTTTTGTGTTTCGGAGGAGGGGAGCTGTGCTGCCCCGTCCCCCGTCCCCAGAGCGGGGCCCTGCGGCCCCGGGGTGACGCTGGCGGAGGGCAGGATGGGCCCCGTCGCCGCACGGGCCCAGGGAAGGAGCCGTCACTGTGACCAGGGCCCTTCACAAGGGGGGTTAACACTTACCTTCTCCTGCACCAGCTGCTGTGCATTAAATCACGGCTCCTCTCAAAGCGGCTTCGCCTCGTGCCCCCCTCCGCCCCCCAGCTCTTCCCAACACACCACGGAGCACATGGACTCGCACGCCGCAGTGCGCCCGCGTCCCCGACGCGTGCCGAGCTTGTGAACAGGGAGGTAAACACCGCTCCACAGCGGAGCCGAAGCCGCCACCAGTCCTCATGCAGGCTGTTCCTGGCACCCAGAACCAATAGCTTTAACCAGCACAGGCGCGCTCTTCTAGACAGATTTTTTTGTAAAAATAATTTCCAATTCTTTTGGCATCTCGCCTATCCCAGCCCAACCCTTCCCTCTCTGCAAGGGTGTCAGAGATGCCTGAACAGAGATAAATGCTACCAGTTGCGTTACAAAATCCAGCCGGGAGCGGGAGCTTGATCCGCTGCCCTCCACTCCCCCACGCATGGAGCAATCCCGGTGTTTACGGCTCTCCCAAGCCCACGGCCGCTGCCACAGGGACAGGCCGCGCGGTATCCAAGCGGACACCTACGAGGTTTCGGGCAGCTCTTGGAAGCCACCACTCTGAGTGTGGGCTAGATAAGAGCAGTCTCTCTTTCATTACGAACTTGTCCTGAATATAAAGTTTGATGGGGGTAGGAATATAAGACAACAGTAAAAGAATTCGAGCAGAGGTGGAAGATGCTGGTCTGCCTTGGACCTTAAGGGCTGCTCTCCGGCTGCCTCGGGACCAACTTCTCACCCATCAGTTGTAAAGCAGGGCACAGAGCAGCCTGCAGGTGAGGCCTCCACAACAGAACAGCTGAGGTAGAAGAGCAAAACTGGGCAGTTAGCAGTCTCCATAGCAAGGCCTCCTTCTTCCCACTCAGCTAAAACCCCCAAGCATCGATTAACCTAAAACCAAATTTGCCTCCCTAAAAACGAGCAGCGAAATGACCCCCTAACAGCTCTGTACAATGCGTGCAAGGTGCTGCCTCAGAGAGAACGGGGCACGCCAGCTCTGCCGCGGGACAGCCACCGCTGTTTGTGCTTCCCTCGCCTGCATGTGCCCATGCTGTAGCTCTCGTACCTTAATATCAGGGAAGTAGAAAAGCGATTTGCAGTATTTGCAGTTGAGGTTTCTCTCGGGGCACTCGCGCTCACAGTGGCGTTCCTTTTCATTCAGTTTGATCACTCCCTTACATGCCTGGCACTCAACCAGCACGAACGGGCAGCTCCCTTCGTGGCAGCTCTGTGACAACGAGAGCAGCACATTTCAATACGGCCAGACAGCAAAGTGCAGGCAGAGCAGACACGCACGCACAGAGATATATGCAAAGAAGATGGTTTCAACCACACAAGTTGATCCCGTGAGGGATGTATGAGCATTTCCCAAGGAACGACAGGGATGCGCCGCTCTGCTGGACCTGCCCAAGCAAGACAAAAGGGAAACCTGCAGTTTAATCTGTCCTTTGTGCTCTCATGAACTTGAGGCATGGGAGAGGGGACTGTTTTCCCCCCCGCTCGCTCCTCAACACCACTGAAACCATGGCCCTTGCACACCTTGTCCGCCACCGCGATACGTGTGCTCCTCAGTTGCCCTGGTGTCTTCACACAAATCTACTTTTGTGGAGGTTTTTCAACTGCACTGGGCAAACCACGAGCGTCAGCTAAGGAGCAACTGAGCAAGTCGGGCAGCTGAGAAAACTGAGCTTTCCAAGAGCTGCTGTGAGCTGCCTCTGGCAGACCCTGGCAGGAAGGGCATCGCTTAAAGGTTTCACGGAGACACCAGACACAGAAGTGTTGGCGTAGGCCGAGCAACTCATCTCCCCTGCAAATATCCTCCCGCGGCTCCTTGCAAGTCAGTAGCCCCCTCTGAGGATGGCAGGAGCAACTCCAGCCTTCTGGGGCTGACAGGCCAGCCGCAGGGAGGGAGCAACTCCAAGGAAGGAAAATTAACAGGAAAGCTGGGGAAAAAACCCTGTGTGGAAACACAGCACAAGGAGAGGCAATGCCAGAGCGCTGGCTCTCCACAGCCCAGACTTTAAGGTCTCTGGGAGAGGAATCCGCCCCAGCATTAGGATACTTCGGAATTTCTCAATGTTCTCAAGTTAAGGATGTTCCTTTGTGTTTCTAGTCTTTTCCTTGTTATTGGAAATTTGAAGGAGAGACCTGCTTGAAGCCTTTCCCATGCAGATATTGGGGATTACTATGCGTGTTCCTTGCACTGTTCTCTGGAGCAAGGCAGCGAACGGCTGGAGAGCAGGGATCAGGTTGTAGGGAGTCAAGCAAGAAAGAGGATTTTCTATGAGGTCACATCAGCTAACACCAAACACAAATCCCTCCCCTTGCTGAGACACGTTGGTGACAGACACCCATCAAGGCCACTTGGCATTATAACTAGACACGAAAGAAGTTACCAAAACACAAAGAATGAATTCACCAGTAACTGCCTCCAGCTTTGAGCTTTGGTTGGGCATTCGTATGACAGTGAAGGAGCAGGAATCCATCGCAGCCCTCATTCTGCAGCCCAGCACCAGGGCTTTCGTGGAGGGCTCGGTGGCAGCAGTAGGAGCGATGCCATAGGTTTCACAAAGGATTTGCTCCCTTGCTTTCAGAACAGCCACCTTAACTGCTAAAGAATTACCTGCAGCATCCTTTAGTTTTAAGAATTGGTGTTTAAGACCAATTTCTTTGACAGAGACTCCATTCAGGATTTACTTGTGCGTTTTGTTTCTTCATCCTGGTGGAATCATTTTGCTCAGGAGATTCAAGCCTGAAGTGGCTGTGGCCCCAGAGCAGGTTTAGAATAAAAGCCTTAGACTGACCTCAACTTGGCCTCAGCAGAAGAGCTGCTCTTTGGCCAGAGGAGCACAAGCTGGTCTAGGCTGTGTAGAAGGTTACCAGCCCCTTTCAACCAGGTACAGCCCATGCATCTTTGCCACCCCCACTTCAGATACAAAATTAAACTGACTGTAACAAGAAATTAAAAATTGCTACACTGGAATATACTGAGTGTTAGTATATAACTGTTAGACCCCTAAGGGATGTTCAAAGGGATTGCAAACTCCTAAGTCAGTTATCAGCTCCACAAACCTTCCAGGCTGGAATTAACGGCTGTAGTCAGAGTCCCATGAACAACTGACCAAGATGGGTAACCAAGTGACCAAGCTCATATCTGAAGAGGTCACCAAGTCAGTCACCAGGGAGTGGACACCACACTACTGCCACTGGGCACCTGCACGCTTGTAAAGTGGTGATTTGAGTTCAATATTGGTTTCTGGGAGTCAAGCACTATTAGCAGTGTGGAGAGCTGCAGTATTGACTGATGTGCCTTAAGTGTGCTAAAAATGCTGACTGTGCCAACCATTATCCAGGACAGAGGATAATGGAAAGGGAAAATGTCTCTTTAAGGAACGCTTTCACCAGCACTTAGATCAAAACGGGCAACTTTAGGCTGAAACTTCAAGAATGAACTCGACTTTGACGTCAAGAAAGGAAGCTGCTGATTAGGGGCCATAGCCTGTGGCCAGCTCGGCCTCCACAGAGGTGTCAGCCAAGGCTGCGGCCGGACACAGGAGCGTTGTCACAGCGCCGGCCTGGGAACGGCAGCGGCATCCCGAAGAAGGGAGACGAGGGGAAAAATCACCACAGGGACAGATGCCTTTTACTTACTGGAGAAATTAAGCCTGTGGTGAGCAGCTTAATTTCAAACCTAATCTCCTTAAAGCTCGTCAAAATAATTGAGCCCCTCTGCCTCGACAGGCTGTTACACAAGCGAGCGCGTGCGATCATGGCTCTGGCACCTGCCTGCAATCCCAAGTCCAGCAAATTCCTCACCGATAGCGAAACGCTGCCCCAAAACTGCAGGAGCTCAGCAGGCAAGCTAAGCTCTCCGGGGGGTTAAGAAGGGACACGTCGCTAAGCTGAACTTCAAAGGTGGTGAATTAGAGCTTTGCATTTTCAAAGGGGCAGACGCCAGCGCTGGTAATTAGGTGGGCCACCACAATAACGTGGAACTGTTTTTAGAAGCAAGCACTAACGCGGACCCTCTAGAGCCGGGGCTTTCCGACCCCCTCCCACGCACATTTTCTGGCACTCCCTGTGGCTTTACCTCCCACAGCGCCTTGGACAGGAAACAAGGCAGGATCTAGGCAGCCAGCTCCATAAACCCTGCTCCAAGGGCTGCAGGGAGGCCAACTTCTGTTTGCAGATCCCAGCTCCAGCTCAGGAAAGTAAAGACGGAGCAGATTCTTCTTTCCAAAGCAGGAACTCCTTTGGCATCTGCACGTGCAAGTGCATCGTCATGAACGTATCTTCTCCAGAGAAACCAAACTAACCTCTGGGCATAATAATGTTCAGACTGGGGCTGTCTCAACACCATACCATGACCTGCAGCCAAAATCCTCACAGAAAGGCACTCAGGGCCCACTGCTCCGCAGGGACGTGGTCTCCCTGGTCACCAAGCATGTTGCCACAAAGTTTAAAACTCCGTCTCTTGTGACAACAATAGTGCTATAAGACATGTGAAGCCACATTTCAGAGAGACAATCAAGCCAGGTGAAGTTGCTTTGGAGATCAGCAGCCCTAAGCAACGTGCAAATTCTGAAGCCGGAGTTTTCAGCCTCGAATGAAAGTCACCAAAACCAATTAGACATTCTTAGGAATATGTCTGGAAAGAGGAAGCACAAAATGGTGAAGTGTCATGAAACAGGAGACCCTTCCAGGTCTTGGCCCCCAATAACACACTTTTGAAGCAGGAAAGGTTTCTCTACACAGTGTAGAGGGTCTTCTGGATCATCTTGCAGAGATCTGCAAGAACACAGGGCAGAAAGAAATTGCCCAAGTCGCTCTGTCCCCTGGTCGCAGGAGGTCACTCACGTCCCGAAGGCTCTGCAGGCGCAGTCTGCACCGCGCTGAGCTTCGGTGCAATGTCACTCCAGTGCTGAGCTCTGCTTCCCGCACGGGCTTTTAGGTGTCAGCTGAAGCGATTTTTTTTCAAAGCCAAGCTGACAACTGACTACAAGCGAAATATCTCCCTCAATGTTGACTAGAACAGCTTATCACCACAAATGACAGTCATCTAACCTCATTAGCTAAACTCATCCAATTTACCAGAAGGAAAAAAACCCACCCACACACGAACACATGCTGCCTTCTCTTCTTTTCATAGCTTAAATACTGTTTTCAGGACTACAAGGTAAGATGCAGCGGGACAATTTCATTGTGTTATTTCTCAAACCACCAAGGTGAACAGGGCATCAACAAAAGCTCTGCTTGTGACAACACAGGAAAATGCCTTTGCTGACTACGGGGACACCTCGTTGCAACCCCTCTCTTCCTGTTTCAGTCCCAGTCAAAGACTCCAAGGGCAAAAGGGAGGGAAGAGCCTCCAATGCTGAGGAACTAGATTGCTTCAGACTCCCACTACCCATGCAAACTCGTATGGTTTCCCCCACCTACCACAGGACTTTGCTTGGTCTCTTCTCTTGCTCTAACAGGCTGTTTTAGACACTTCATCTCTTCTCAGATTTCCCACCTGATCTAAAGTGTCCTGTCCACAGCTTCCTTTTGTACACACACATTCAGTGTGACTGATCAAGAAACCTATCTATGAAGAGGCTACTGAAAAAGAAAAGTCACCCTATCTGGCCACAAAATACTTTATTGAAATGGCTCTACGCATGCACTACTGAATCCAAAGTCAGAAACATGCATTTATAAACCCCCCGCTCAAAGCATTTTATTCTATACACTTCACACAGCCCTTTGCAGGAGGGCAAATCAAGTCCAAGGAGATTTCACTCTCTGCTTTGCATGCGCCCTTGAGACCTGAACAGAAAGCAAAACTGAGATTTTTTTTTAAACACATTTAAGACTGAAATACTAGAGATTTTCACCTGCAGAATATCTCTTCCGTCTTGTTTGTTCCCTAATAAGATTAGGGAGCCAGAAGTGAAAAAATCACTCAATTTACAAGCAGATAGCACCTGAACACATGTGCCTCGATACGAACGCTGCACAATTTTTAAATGAGCAAACAATGAATTAACTTTTAGGGACTTTCCATGTCCTGTCAAAAATAGCACAGCAAGGGACTTTCCATGGAGGCTACAGACTCTAGAGCACAGCCCAGGCCGCCGCGCGGCAGGGCCGCGTGGACGGGCAGCGCTGGCTGCAGCGCGCCCAGGGGACACCGCGGCCTCCGTCGGTCTGACACCTCCCTGCACCGCCCTCTGCCACACGGGCCATCTCTCGGGCTCCACACCACACGAGGACAGCCAGGCCTGATTAAATTCCACTGCTGGAAAGGCAGCTGGGATGGGAGCTAACACAAGCCAGACCCGTCTCCTCCTACTGGTTCCCAGTCAAGAATGATTTTTTCCCCAAGAGGGCACAAAATAGCCTTACCCTCATGAGCAGCAGCTGCCGCATGTACTACGTTGCATAGAGCCAAAGCTCTCTCCTGGATAGACCTGCTGGAACAGCAAAGAATTCTCTGTTCTTTAAGTGAGGGAAGGCTGCCTTAAGACTAGCAAAAATTGCCACTGTCAAGTGCAGTGCTGCAGATCTGCAGGACTCTGGTGTAGCACCTCACCACGATGGACTATTTGAGCAAAACACCCATTTGAAGATTACATGGAAAATAAGGAGGCAGTCTCATCGGTTCAGATGTTTCCATGCGGTCCTGCCTACGATGCAGAAGCAAGCACCACGCACAATGCAGCCTTGCAGGACAGGAGACATCCCAGGACACCTCCCAGCCCTTGGAAGTCACTAATCCAAACACTGGCTGGGCCAAAGGCTGCATTTGGACACTTGTAGGATCACCCAGAACCTTTGACAGATTATGGTTTTTGCAGATGGTTTTTGCCGAGCCCTGCAGGAATCCCAGAATGGTTGAGGTTGGAAGGAATCTCTAGAGATCCTCTAGTCCAACCACCTTCTCCAGCAGGGACACCCGGAGCAGGGGCACAGGGTGGCATCCAGGCAGGTTTGAAGATCTCCAGAGAAGGAGCATCACCCCTTGTCTTCTCCCTGGCCATGACCAAGAAGCGTGACTCTTCAAGGGCTTTTTTTTTGAAATCCAGGAGAACTGAAGTTCTTCGGATCTCATCAACCACAGCCCCCCCATCGACGGCATCGTCGGGTGCTGACAAATATAATTCGGTTTAGTCTGATGGAGATGAGCTCCTTACCACGGCCACCAGCCTGAACACCACAGCAGGATGAGACCCGCGCTAGCTTGTCCTGCAGCACGAACTGCAGGGTGCATCCAGGAACGCACAGGTACCAACCACAGCCCGAAGCTGGACCCTCAGGGAAACCCACGGTACCCACAAACGCTCCTTGAGGATTCTCTCTCTTGGAAACTTTCAGTAACAGAATCACAGAATGGCTGAGGTTGGAAGGGATAGAGATAACCTAGACCCCCACTTTTAACATTTTTATTTGACATTTGTTCAGTCACACATATCTACACCAGAGGCTACTTGTGGAGATAAGAATGAGGGTTTCAAAGCAGAAGCATCTCCTGCACTTATCTTTGGGCTGATAAAGCAGTCCAAAACTTTCTAGCACAGAGAAGGCTTCAGGCAGCAGGAGAAGGAATTGCAGGCACAGAACTATCACAACTATCTCCTAACATGCTCAGCAAGCTAGGCAGGAAACTCGGACACAATCCATAGCGGTGGTGTTTCTTCCTGCCAACCTGCAACAGCACTGCCTATAGAATCCATACACTACACCAGACAGGCCGAGGTTAATCCTGGATACTAACGAAAGTCCATGAGCCACAGGGTTCTGATTTTAATATGGGGAAAGCATTGGGGAGGCGGGGGAGAGAGGAAGGCGGGGACAGGGAGTTTATCCCTTGTATCTCCATCACCTCACTTGATGGCTCTTCATTCCCAGATGAATGCAAGGCATTCCCAGGAGCAACAAAACAAGGTGCACTTTGTTGCCAACACATTTTGACAGTGCAAACCTGCCCAGCAAAGTCTACCCACTGGGAAGTGCACGGCAGCAGCCACAGGCAGGGAAGCACTTGCCACATCACATGCTCAGACTAGGAGCCAAGCAGCCTGGGCCCAATGAAGGCTCGGGAAGGCCTGGACTAAAGGGCTGATGGGCTCCTCAAGAAGAGGGAGAGCACAAAGGCTGTCCTGGTCGGCAGTGCTGGGATACGGACACCTCAGAGGGATCCACAGGCAGCCAGGGAAGGTGCAACCCCGCCGCCCTCGTTCCGCAGCACGCGGCCCGGCGGCTGCGGGAGCTGCTGCCTGGGAAGCAGCTGCACTCTGAGGTTCACGGCTCCAAAGCAGGTTTTAGGTTCACACAACACAGCCAGCTTGGCAACAACCTAATCGCACAGCAGCTTCTTGATGCTTTGTTTGCATCTTTTACAGCAGAGAGAAGCGTGAGACAGGGCGAGTGGTTCTCACCACCAGTAACGTGGTTGGAGCCTGGGGTCACAACCAACCTGGAATTCCTTCAGCCCAGCTGATGCTCTCAGCAGAGCCCACAGACCAGGCTCGGGCAATAAATCCAGGAAGTCTCTGCAAACTCCAGGAAGGCCCCACTCACAGTGAAGTACAGAGAGGTGAAACCACCCACCATCACCAGCAGCGTCAGCACGGACAGCTGAAACCGCCTGGACTTTCCCCATCATCACACAGGCAAAAAGGAAAGGAAAAAGCACAAAGATATCAAAAACTTTGATCTTTACCTCGTACTCTTTAATAGTCCCCTTCCAAGTGCAGCCATCGTTAATGCAGATGGCAGGCAGACTTTCTACCTCCCGACGAGCTGCGTTGTCTGGGAAAGCCTGGAATAGAGAAAGAGGGAAAATATAGAAGAAAAAACAGTTAAACTACATAAATTACGGTATGGTTACGGTCTCTGCCCAGTCTCTTGATTCTTTTTGAGCCATCCTTAAGCAAAACCCCTCCCAAACCACTTACCAGATCATATCCTCCAAGGTGTGCTAATGGCAAACACATCTTTACCACGGTGTTGAAATAGGCCGCCTCTACATTAACATGACCTGGATATTAGATGCTAGGGAGCCTACTACCATGTTAATCATAACTTTCACTATTATAAATAACAGAATGTTTCCTAACAGTAAGGAAATCACAGAGCTTGCACTTTATACAAAAAACTGCAGCTGGTATCAGTGAGCTTGGTTTTATTTTTTTAAAGGAAGCTTTTACTTACTGAGCTTGTTTCTAAAATAGAAATTCCTTCTTCATATATTCCCTCCTGAATACAGATGGCACACTTTTGAGGTCCAGAACTAGCAGACAGAAAAACAATAATCAAAACACAAAAGAAGGATATGACAACGTACATGATTCAGGGCATGGTTCAGTTACAATTAAGTTGCGGATAAATTTGTAAAACTGAAAGATCTTAGTTTTAAAACATTTTTAGAACAACATATAGAACCTCTGCTTAGCTGCATCTTGAAACCCATTTCTGATTGTATTTTTTTTTCTTCTCGTTGTTCTGTTTAATTCCCCTCACTCAAAGGCAGAAGTGAGTTAAAACACAGGTATTTTTTTTTTCTGAAAGCCAGAATCTGCTTAAGTTTCTCACATTTTGGCACAATAACCATATGAGGACTTTTAGGAGCAAATTCCATCAACAGCTGTTATACTAACTGAAAGATCAGCTAATCCACCTGGACGGACAACCAAATCGCAAAAACAATCCAGAAAATTCCAGAAAAGTGGAATTTGAAGCAAGCTGCCAAACAACACAAGCAGCCAGAGCTTACACATTCCCTTAAAGAGGACCTGATGATGAATCTCTGAGACAAAACACAGCTTCCCTTAGTGAAAAGCCATTGAAAATTGCTCCTCTTCTTTGCCTTCCTTGCTTTTAATCATTTTGTTTTCTGACTGAAGGCACAAAAGTTACCTTATAATTTTCTTCAGACAGTAGGAACAGTAGCGATGTCCACACTGAGCTTGAAACGGCCTCCTCAATATATTCTTGCACTCTGAACAGAGGTATTTGACCTCCAGTTTAGTACCCAGTATCTCCTTTGAAAACCCAGGCTGGTTTAGATCCAAAGAGCCAGGTGGAGTAGAGTTTGCTGCTGCCATGGGAGCCAAAAATGCTGGCTGTATCTCAAAAGCCTGAAAGAAATAAAAATATTGTCCCTGTTAAACAGTAACTGGATGGTAGTAGCTTTTCCATGTAAGCTGGGCTAGTTCCAACAGGCTAAACCAGCACCCCAACCCCAAGAGCACAGGGAAAAGTCAAATCTCAGACATGAGACTGCCATAGTCAGGAGGACAATGGTAGAAAACACTTAGTTAACATCAGTTAACGTTAGTTAACCCTCAGTTAACGTCAGAATTAAGCCCAGGAAAGGGCAAGCACATCTCACTAAAATCCCCCATCCAAACAATTTAACTGTGACACAGACTATCCAGGGAAATCAAGGCTGCTGGCCTGAAAGAGAGGGAAACACAGTTCCAAAGCGGAACTCATCAGGAGCAACAGGCATTCGCCCCCCTGCAGCACCTGCGACCCCCGGGACAGGCCCGGGACAGGCAACAGCCCCGTGCCCGGAGCGGCCGTCCCGCCGCGCGGGTCACAGCGCCCACGGC